GGGGGGGGGGGGGGGGGGTAACATGGTCTGCAATTCAGAATTCTGGTCCTTATACTTCTACTACACAGAAAGGGAAAAGATGATGATACAAAAGGCATGACCCCTATGGCATATCTACACCACCTCCACACCACACCCAAGGTGCAGCTTGAAGCCTGCCTCACCCACTTCTTCCCAAAACCTAGAGAAGAGGTAGTGTAGATGCCTTAGAACAGCACTGATCATGTGCCTGTCCTACAGAGACTTTCTGTCTTAGGAGTGCTTCTGTAAGGTGACTGTACTTTCTCATTTCTGGTATTGGGTATATATGGAGTTGGAGGGAATGGATGGAATTGTTGGTGAAAATAATAAACACTAAAGCCTTCTTTTGATTCTCATTCTAGGACTTCATTACTGAACTGCTGAGCCGATTGAGAGGTCTCAGGAAAATCCCTTCCCCGCAAAAGAAATGATTCCACCCACCTTGGGAAGCCTCTACCATTGCTTCTATGGAAACATGCATCTCCCCAGGAAAGAGAATCATGGGAAGATTATTTTTAGTTTCTTCTAGAATATGGTGTCACTAAGAAACACCTTACATACTTTCTGCACCACGGGGGTTGAAGTACTTCTTTCCGTCCCCACTTCTGACTTAAAGTAATTCGTCAATATTTAAAAAGCCATGAAGTTTGGGGACAGGCCAAGATTACCTTCATGCTTCTCCTTTAATTTCCTTTTCAAAGGAACCTCTGCTCCAGCTGAGCAGCACTGAACACAGCTCCATCATAACCCATCAAGGCTGCTTATTTCATCCAGTGACTGAAAGGAAAAATATGTCGTTGGCTGTTATCCACACTTCTGCTGAACTGCTCCTACTCCCTGCCTACTTGAGACAGAAACCAAGATGTCTTTGTTAGTGCATTGTACAGACTCCAAGACAGCACATGGCCAGAAAGCTGCTTCCTGTATGTTTCCAGTTAGTGTTTTTATTCATCATCCTTCACTCAGTGCTCATTGAAGCTTTTCTCTTAATCCCACTGTGTGTCTATCATTAATGAATATTTAAGAGATGAGTGAATGTATGCAGCAGCCACTAAGGTTAATGGAAAATAGTCAGGCTTTATTTTTGTTCTCTGTGGTGCATGGGACTTCTGCAGATACTACTGTCAGGAACAAAGGAGTTTATCAAGGGTTTTCCCTGTCATAACCATTGGGATATTATTATTATCCCAAAAACATTTTGGAAAATGCTTATTTTGTATATTAAAAAGACATGAAAAGCAAGACCTGTTTGTGATGAAGGTCCTTTGTTCTGCTTTCCCAGAGGAAATGCAGAGGGAAGAACAACTGCATGAAAAAACCTACCCAGGACTGGCCAAGTTCTCCCTACAGGGGGCATCTCTGAATCAACCCAGAGGAAAAATGGGAGTCTTGTGTCTCCCTACACAGATGTTTCTGGCTGCAGCAGGACTGGGACTGAAAAACTTCTATAAACAAAGCCACATTCAGCCCTTCTAGTCAGAGGGACAGTGATATACCAAGCATAGGAAGGAAATGGACAGCAAATATGGGGAGGGTATTTTGA